GGTGGGGTTGTGTGGCCTCGTGGTCAGGGAGGTAATTACTAATGTTAGCTGCTCTCCTTGGGGAGGGACGATGCTCCTGTTATTTCCTGAGGAATCGGGCTGCATTAACCTCCATGCACATCCACTCACTTGAAAATTAGCAAGAAATTAGGAGGTCAATCGTCATCTTCTGCAGAGAAAAAAGCAGAAAAATAAACCAGATAAAGTGTTGAGAAAAGAGAGATCACTGTTTAAATTGCACAAAAACGTTGCATAAACATTTAGGTACCAAACACATGTGAGTAAATTAGTGTGCACAAGTTTTCCTGCAAGTTTTGGTCAATTAATGCAAGACATTACCCAACATGGCAGTGTATAGGATTTCACTTTATGTTGCTGTAGTAATGAAACAGATATCAGAAATGTTTGATCTTTACTTTTAAAATTCAGGTATGCTGACAACTCAACGAGCCACCACGTGGGCCAATCATGAAGCGCCGTCTCCTCTCTAAATTTGGCCGCTGTGGTGTCACTTCTGTCCTCTCAGGGTTTAAAGATTTGACCTTTAATTAAAAGCCCCCCTCCTGCCAGGTTAATCAGGCGAGTGTCTGAAACATCAGGTCTACCATCAGTCCTGTTTTTGTCTAAGAGCAGCTGAGATCACCGTTAAAATATGTGACATTTAATCAGAGCGCCCTCATTAGGTCAATCAGTGCAGCTTTAACGGTTTACTTTAAGTCAGAGAGTAATCAGAGGATTTAGTTTTTAACTTCTGAACGGAGCTGAACAGAAAAGACTCTGCATGATGTCTGAAGAGCTCTAAGTGGTCAAAACTAGACCGTCTGAACTTGATCAAAAACATAACAATTGACTGATGTCTTTTTATTGTTGTGTTAACATAAGACAGACTCCTATACATCAGCCTTCCTCCTCCTCATCAGTCTAGCCCTCTCTCTCTCTCTCTCTCTCTCTCTCTCTGTTATCAGATGAGTCTTGATTGTCCCGTCACTGCTGAGGGATCGAGGCATCCAATCACAGTTGTCTCGCCTGGCCCCGCCCCCTCCTGATGTAAATAACCTGCCTGCTGGTTCAAGGTGGGACGTCACTCAAGATCCATTAGTTTATTTTATTACCATGGAAACGGGGAGGGGGAGGGGTGGTTGGAGAGAGAGAAGTTCAAAATGAAGAATCAGAAGAAAAGATGGCACATTGACTTGTGAAAAGAAATCTCCCTGCAGCGAGTTGCAACACAGCCTGAATATGTGAGTTTAAGATGAGTCCCACCTCCAATTAGCCAATCATGGGTTAGGATTTTGGGGCCAATAAGTTTTCAGGGTGTGTGTGCCGACACTGGCCGACACTCTGGACGTGCCCCTGCGCTGGAGGAGTGATAGTAACATCACAGGGTTGTGTGGCGGTGGGGCCCAGTGTGATATCTTTTCATGGGGAACCAGAAGTCCTGACCAGGCTCCTGTTCTCTCGCTTCCAAAACGGCAAAACTCCTCCACCTGAGTGAATGCACCATGTGATGAAGTGCATGTTCTCCATCAGCACTGAAATCTGAAGTAGATTACTTCCTGGGTTGGTCTCTGGCTCCACAACCTGCCCCCCCCCCCCCCCCCCCCCCCCCACCCCACCCATCCACCTGACTTCCTGCTAATGTCCCTCCTCCTCTTTTTCTCTTGTTTTATATTATTATAATGAAGCCTGTGATGGAGAGGGAGGAGGGGGGGGGGGGGGGGGGGGTAGGGGTCTTTAATTCATCATGACTACTGGTTGATTTATCCTCAAACTTTTCTTCCCCCACTCCCTCCATCTCTTCATCCCCTCTTCGTCGTCGTCTTCTCCGTCGCCTCGCGCTGACGGCTCTCCTCTTCCTCTCTGAAGCTTAACTTCATTGTCTCTGTGCGCGCTCGGCTTTCATCTTAAGACAAAGATTTATGTAAATCTGCAGGCCGGGCGTTAATGCGAGCGCCGTGTGACGAGGAGCATCCCTAAATCGTGGCATTGTTGTTGAAAATGACAGAGCAGGCCGTTAATCCTACAATGCGATCATCCAAATGTGTCATAATGCCGCGTGTAGGCAGCAAATCTGAATATCAAAAAGACGCCAGCACGCACCTCTTCTACTCGCCTTCACAGCTTCTTCTTCTTTTTCTTCTTCTTTAACTGTGTTTTAAAGAAAGCGGCCTGCTGTCAGAGGATAGAAAAACCAAAGTTTGGAGCAGGAATCTGTGCGATTCAGTCGGATAATAACACGCTACATGTGCTGAAAGAAAGATCTACAGAGGAACAAAGGCTGAGTGTGAGCAGCGTTTAGCTAACAATCAGTTTGCTTATGTTCCTTAATTCATGATGTGTTCGAGTGCATCGCTGCGTTCAGGGACCAAATGGAGCGCAGGGAAAGTCAGATGAAAATCAAAGAATGAATTATATTCATTTCCCGCAGACAAAATAATGTAAAGAATATTTGACTATAATCACGTCCAGTTATAAACAGCTTCTTCACCTGGACATAGATCGTAATGGTCACAGTCTATGATTCTGCACCGGTCACATGGGTATAAACGTAATCACCCCCTCCTGCTCGCTTGCAGTTCATTTTTACAAAATATTTTCTGCTGCGTCCTCACATCAACCCGACTTCATGCAGAAAATTTACATGACGGTTGGCAGAAAAAGAAATCCCTGGTAAAGACGGAGTGAAAAATGTGGCTGCTTGCGTTCACACGTGCAGGTCACTTCAGGAAGTTTTCAGGAATTTTGTGAATTTGTGAAAGCATTGCGAGACTTTCAGAAACTTAAACAACTCTGTTTTGCAATTAATTACAATTTGAGCCGTTAGTGAAGCTATTTGAAGTCTTTGTAATTCTTTCCACGCTTGCACAAAAAACTCCTGAAAACTTCCTGAAATTTTCCAGGAGTTAGCTACATGTGTGAACGCAAACAGACACATTTTGCCCTCAAACTTTACCTGGAATTTTTGCCACCTAGTAACTTTACTAGTGTTAGCCGATGTAGGAAATATTTAGGAAAAGTAATGACGGGCGAGCAGGAGGGAATAGTGAGGTTTATATCATGAGAACAGTGCGATCTTGATGAACGTGATGAAGCATCTCAACTCTTTGTTTACTGTGAAAATGTAAAATGATACGTATCATTGAGAAAAAGGCAAAGAGTTGGACTGTGTTGCTTCATCCGCCGTTATGACCTGACGTAAATCATCCGCTGTGAGGCACAAGTGTGAGCAACCAATCAGGAATATTTCAGAGGCAGTCTGTCCTGAACATTTTCTAGAACTTTTCCTGAGTGTAAATGTGAAAAAGGCTTCAATGACACCTCCTCACGTGACCCCTTATCTGCTCCTCTTCCTCTCCTGTGTCTCTATGGGGAGGGGCATGTGTGTGTGCTTGTGTGTGTCTGTGTGTGTGTGTGTGTGTGTGTGTGTGTGTGTGTGTGTGTGTGTGCGTGTGTGTGTGTGTGTGTGTGTGTGTGTGTGCTTGTGTGTGTCTGTGTGTGTGTGTGTGTGTGTGTGTGTGTGTGTGTGTGTGTGTGCTTGTGTGTGTCTGTGTGTGTGTGTGTGTGTGTGTGTGTGTGTGTGTGTGTGTGTGTGTGCTTGTGTGTGTGTGGTAGAATTTCAGAGTTGGTGCTGAAAGCTTAAGACCTCCTGTACCTGTCACAGAGAGACGACCTGCAGCTTAACTCTGCTGCTTTTTAATGAGGGGGGGGGGCGACGACAGCCAGTCAAATTATACCACACCTAATCCAAGACACACACACACACACACACACACACACACACACACACAGAGGAGTTATAGCAGGTTATAATAATGATGAAGAGGAGGATGGAGTGAATCAGTCAAAGACTCAGTTAAACACTTGACGCTGGTCTTCTTATTGTTGTTGTTGTTCTCTCTCTCTTTTATTTTATTTCTGTTGTTTATTCCGCTTCTTCCTGTCTGCCTCTGAGTCGTTACTCTCCCTCATAAATGATGACAGATAGACTGACTTGGGCGGCTGTGCCTTAGTGGTAGAGTCGGTCGTCTCTCAACTGGAAGGTCGGGGGTGCGATCCCCACATGCCCTCAAGGGCTGAGGTCGGAATTGAACCCACGGCTGCTGCGCTGAGGACTATTGCCTCTGTATATGGTGTACCGCATAACCGCTAGGTTATCGGCACCCCACAGCATTACATCTGTACCCAGCCGCCAGCCCCTTGAAATATATATTTATGTAAATAGACAGGTGCGTCTTTTTTAAATGCTCATCATTTTTGGCAAGTGTTCGATAGTATTGACCTTTAAAAATCACATTGTGTCGCTGTGAGTTGCTTGGTATTTTAAAGAATTGAAGAAAGAAAACTTTGACGGCAATCATTTAAATTTGTAGTGTGATGGAGGCAGAGGTGCTGCCTTCATGGGGCCCCAGGCCAGTAACGGCTGACAAACTTTAAACCACAGTATTGCCTCAAAATGAGTAAAAATGGCAAAAGGAAACCTTTTTTGTCTGTCTACTTGCCAATATATTGAATAGTTTCTGCTGATAACATGTTCATACAACTCTGTTTTTGTACATTTACACCTACCTCCAGCAAAGAATGTTGTATTTAATCTTTCATATTTAAGACTAGAAGTAATGCTTAGTTAAATCCTGGATGTATATATTCTCCTTCTCAGTTTTTATATTTTTAGTGCTTATTTACTTTGTATTTAATATTATATTGTGTTTATTTGCTAATATTGTGTGTTTGGACAACCTGCTGCTGTAATGCCCCAATTTCCCAGTTTGGGATCAATAAAGTAATTCTATTCTAAGGGGGCCCCATCTGATAGCACTCACTCTCTATGCCCGGCTAAGCGTTGCATGCATTATTGCTGTGAAAACCAAAATTGTCAATTAAGGAAAATGAAGAGGAATTATCCTTCTGTGAGTGAAAAAGGAAAAGAGGAAAATAATAATAAGTGCTGGTTGGAGGGGCCCCCAATGAATCTTCTCAAATCCAGGTTTGAAACGGCCGACTCGTTTTTAAAATTGTTTTATTTTTGATTTCATCACACCCAAGGCAGAATCAAAGTTACTAAAACTGAAGACTTTTACAGTTACAGTGACAAAAAACAGCTTCAGAGACCCACAAGTTTAAAACTGCAAAAAAAAAAAAAATAAAGATAAAAAAAACAACCTTTTTTTCTAGTTTAGTAAAATGCCCAGGCATTCTCCAATATTACAAATACTGGTATACTTTACAGTAAACAAGAGAAATGTCATATATATTCATATATATTTATATATACTAAAACCCCGTCACCAAAAAGAACGAAAGGAAAAAGATTTACACGTCAGAGAAACTTTAGAAGCAAACCTGAAAAAAATACTTGCTTGTTTCAAACACACATACACACACATATTATTTTACCCTTGTACTTGTTTCAATACTGTAAACTTATTAAAGACAGAATGCACTACATCCTTTTTCTGAGTTTCCTGATTTGTGTCTCTTCGGGGACATTTTGTGTGGCTCTTCGTCCTCTGCGTTTTGGGACTGACTCGGCTCCTTCTGAGGGAGGATTCTCATAAAGTTTATCTATAAATAGGTTTGTGCCTTTATATGTACATATGCATACATATATATACACACACACACAGACACATTGAGATTGTGCTGGCTGCTCCTAAACCTAAACTCAGCATTAATTGAAACCATTCTGTTGAAATGTCAGAATACGATAGTTTTACATTTTTATTTTTATTTTTTAAATCTGATGCGTCATAAAAAGTGTTGCATTTGTCTGAGACAATAAATAGGAAGATCATTATTCAAGGCACACTCATGTCTAATTGAACGGCAGTACAAAACTGTCCCAAATAAATATTCATATCATAATTATTATTTTTAATTTGTATTTTTATAGTGCCAGCATTGGGAGAGCCTCGCCTAACAACCCTGAGCACTTCAGCGTCAGGAGATCCCAAGATCTACACCCTCTGTGTGTGTGTGTGTGTGTGTGTGTGTGTGTGTGTGTGTGTGTGTGTGTGTGTGTAAGGGGGGGGTGTTGTATGGATAAATCATAAAGTGCAGGTCTGATGTTTGGAGACATCAGATGTAACATTAAAAGCACCGGGATGAGGGAGGATGGAGTTTTGAGATATTTCAGATATTTCAGATAAAAGTCGGAGTGATGCCTCTTGTCTTATAATCAATCTCTGCACACTGTGAGCTGAAGCATCTCAGTGTGTGCAGCAGTTTCTCTTCTTCCCTCTTGTTTTTGTAGTTCTTAAACATTTTGCTGAGCTCTTCTTCTTGTTGCATCTTTACAATCTTTGTCGAATTTAAAATAGAAACGTCTGCACCAGAGTCAGTTCATAACACTGGATACTATCTGTCACAAGAACACTCAGGTCGAATATTTAATATCAACAAATGTCATGTGTGACCTGGGATGACTCATGACGTTGTTTAAATAGCCTGCGTCATCATGAGAGACATCCCGGCAGAATCTTCTCGTCGTGACAGAGAGCTGTGACAGTCATCCAGAATTCATAGAACTGTAGTTACATATGTAACTCTTACAAACTAATCTCAAACTAAATCATTTCCTCTTAGGGTAATCACAGCTGATGGATGTGGTTACTTGGTCAGCCATTTTTTGATTTTATAGTCTTTGTCTGCACAGTAGACCTTTTTAAAGTAGAGCTGAACTGCATCTTTAAAAACAAGAACGCAGTCACTGATCTGAAGTTTGTTTCAGTTTGTTTCAACCTGCAGAGTTCTATTTTTTCTGCACAGGTGACTTCCCTCATCCGATGATTTAACTTTAGAATCAATAACGAAACCTTAATGTATTTCTCCACCTTTGCCTGATTGTATTACCGAGCGCAGAGATGCATCAGGAAAAGGTCACGTTTAATACATTCTAATGATAAAAATCTGAAGACGTGGTTTCATATTTAACCTTTTCTGATTCATGTTTATAAAAGAGTGCATGTCCTTTGATAAACTCCGACACATGAGGAGATGTAAACGCTGGAGGAGAAAGAGGAAATAAAGAAGCTCGACCTGAGATGTCTGTTCTGGCTTCATGCTAATGTGACTTTAAATCCATAAAATGAACAAAATGAGGGGTGTTTGACTTCAGTTCCTCGAGGGGGGGGGGGGGGGGGGGGGGGTCAGAGCCCTGGAGGTGTATTTCTCAGGAGCAGGTAAAAAGCCACACCTGGGGTATCTTCAGACCAAACAGAATGTTATCAAAGCAGAGCGGTCTGTTTAGCTTCCTGTGTTTTTTATTACAGAAGGGTTGCTGCTGCAGATCAGAGACAAAACGTCTCACAAGTCCAAGGTTTACAGGTGTGGCCCTTGACTAACTCTGAAGAGCTCCTGCAGGGCTGGGACTGACCCCCCTGGTCCTGATTGTATGGCCTCATGCAGAGTGTTTAAGTGTGTGTGTGTGTGTTTGGATGTGTAGAGGGTGTGTGTGGTAGCGTTGTTGGGATGCGGTACTTTGTACCAGCAGCAGCTGCCTTATGTGGAACATGTTTGTTTGTTTTTCAGGCTGGTTGTGACGTTTTCAGGAGGAGGCGGGGCTAATGCACCTTGGGATCCTCTTTGTTTCGCATTTACTGTCACATCTGACACTCAGTGCTACATATCCAATTATATTGACATGTTTTAAAAATTCGTTCATGCTACAGTGCCAAAGGATTGTTGTCCGCGTTTCGTCATCACACACAAAAAACAAATCTAATTCTATCATTCTCAGTTAACGCCACCGTCAGACTGAAGATTGAACTCAGCTTCTCTTCAACAAGTCACACGTTTAGCTTACTGTACATTTCCTACAAGCAGCGGCCAAAAAAAAAAAAGATTCAAGACTTCAAATGGACGTTTGTCTTCTACAAAACTCTCAGGATATCGTGTGGGTTTTTTAAAAAATAGAGTAATGCAAAATCAAAATGAAAGAACTTTCTTTTTTAAAAATGCCTTAAAATAAAAATGTACCTGCACATGCCAAAATACAAAATCCAATAAATACAGAAATTATTGCACAGTTAAAGGCTCCACACATGTTCAACTCAACTGACTGATTGTTTAAAAAGAGCTCCAAATGAGGCAGTAAGACAGCTTCACTCGGCGTTCGGATGGTGTTTCCACTTTTTTTGTTCTCAGTTGGCAGTTTTTTTTAAAAACACAAATGAAAAAAGAAATGAACGTTTCAGAAAAAAGAGTATCCAGCTACCCCGTGTTGTTCATTTTTTAGTCAGTGTGTGGAGTCTGAGGTTCTCTCTGCTTGTTCGATTTTGACCTCGTTGGTCATCAAATGTTCTCCGTGCCACTTTTTCATGTGTTTCTCCAGAGTGCTGTACACGCTGAAGGGCATTTGACAAATGTCACAGCGGTACACCTCTTTCCCCATCTGCCCATGTGTCTTCATGTGGCGCGTGAGCTTTGAGCTCTGGGCGCAGGCGTAGTTGCACAGCTCGCACTTGTAGGGGCGCTCTCCGGTGTGGCTGCGCCGGTGCACTGTCAGGTTGCTACAGTTCTTGAACACCTTGCCACAATACTCACACGTGTCACACCTCCTGCTGTCCTTGGAGCCGGGTCGGCCGGAACCTCCGCTCAGGTGAGGCGTGCTGCCCCCGCTGGCGGTGCCACTTCTGCCCGAGAGGCCGCCATCCAGGAGGTCACCCGGAGGTGTGGAGAACCGTAGGCTGCCGTTCTCGGACGAGTGCTCGGAAGAAGTGGCAAAGGGCGATTGTCTGGAGTCAGTGAAGCCAAGGAAAGGGTCTTTGATGAAGTGGCGCGAGGCGGCGTAGCCCACCAACCACTGGGAGTAGACGTTCTCAGAGGGGATGTGGGGGGCCTGTGGGATGTCCAAGTCCTTCTCAATCTTGATCCTCTTATTGGAGGAGTTGGACAGGCTGGGGCTGGTGATGGGGGTGGGCTTACGGGGGAATAGGCCTGAGAAAGAGTCACCGGACCCACAGTTCCGGCCGTTAATGGTTGTCCTCTCTTCCCGCTGGTGGTCCATCTCCCCAGCCACCAAGTCCTCGTCCCCAGTGTCCCGCGGGATGTCGGAGCACCTCTTGGAGAAGGGCATCCTTTTACGATTGTCAACGATCAGGTTATTGTACTGCTGTATGGAGTTGAGTCCTCCATTGTCCACCATCTTGTCTAAGGAGAAAGAGGATTTGTCGTCTGAGGGCGGTTTGGAGCCGTTCTCCCGGTTCCTGTAGAACTCAGACTCCATGCTGAAGTTTGATTCTGGTCTACTCTCGTTCTCCAACTCTTCTTCCTCCTCCTCCTCCTCTTCCTCCTCATTGCCTTCCCCCTGGAAGTCCCCATCACGGTTCTTCATGCCCTCCCCTGTGACATCGCTGGTGCCCGGCTCTGGAGAGCTGGTGGTGGATAGTCCATCGTCTGAGCGTCCCGTCAAAGATCCAGCTTTGTGCATGTGGGTCTTCATGTGTCTCTTCAGCTTGCTGGCCTGAGAGCAGGCGTGGTCACACAGCTGGCACTTGTATGGTTTTTCTCCTGTATGGCTGCGACGGTGGACCACCAGGTTGCTTTGAAACTTGAAGGTCTTTCCACAGAACTCACAGGACTTGACCTTGTTCTGGTTCTGGGGAGGGGTGGTGCTGTTTGGGGGCATTGGCGGTAGGGGGGGCGTGCTCAGAAAAGGTGATTTTGGCCCCGGTTGGAAGGGGTTGGGGTTTAGTAGTCGATGCATAGGGTTGGCCCTGCTGGGTGACAGGGGGGGCGTGGTGCTGTTGTTGTTCCCTGCCAGCTCTCGGAGCCTCCGAGAGAAGTCCATAGACTGGGACTCCATGGCCATGGGCGTCAGACGCATCACCCGCTCAAAGGCACTGGGGTGCTGGGAGATCAAGCCCATTTCCTCTGCACTCAGGCGTTCCAGTCTGTGGGGATCCAGGTGGTGGCGGGGAGGCGGACTAATGAACGGAGGCGTGTTGGGGAGGCGGTTCTCCACAAAGCCTGGGGGTGGCTCCCGGAGCAGAGGGCCCGTCATCCTCAGGAGGTGGAAGGGGTTGTTGTCTCCCAGGAAGTTGGTGAGGGGGGACTGCGGGATGGAGTCGTTGCCCATGGGGGGAGGCATGGAGATGCGGGGTGTGAGGGCGGCGCTGGAGGGGTTGGACTCCAGGTAGATCCTGATGCCGTGGGTGTTCTGAACGTGCTGCAGCAGGAACCAGGCACTCGGGAACGGCTGCTTGCAGGTGGTGCAGGTGTAGCTGGAAGGCTCATTCCTGCCGCCTGAAACGCAGAGACACAGTCGGAACGTCAGCCAAGAAGATTTACACGACCTTGCAAAACATTCAAAACATGACACAGAACGTTCATAAAATCAACGGGTGCTGAATGTCAGTGTGCTGCTTGATGTTGGCCAGATAACTTCCTGGAACATTTTGTTGATTTCACTAAGTATGCGGTCGGACTGGACACAAAAACAGCATCTTTGCAGAGTGTAAATGTAAACTGTGTAAAACACGTGTGAGTGTGTGTGTGTGTGTGTGTGTGTGTGTGTGTGTGTGTGTGTGTGTGTGTGTGTGTGTGTGTGAAGGTGAAGTGCTGCGCTCATCATGTTGTCACACAAGTGCTTCGTACTTCTCACATTCCCGTCGAGAGGCTCCTACAGTCACACCTGATTCAGGTTTAAGAGGTGCTTCATCTCTGACATGGGGCTGCTTTGTCACACTGTGACACTGTGTCTGAGTGTGTGTGCATAAAAAGTGGATGTTTTTATAGAACGAGTGTGCATACGTGCAGGAACTGGTCCAGAGAGTGTGTAGTGTTTGCAGAGTCGGAGATGTCAGACTCATACGGGTGAAGAAGGAAGGTATTTATGAACACTCATCACGCAGCAGCGGAGAGAGAGAGAGAGAGAGATAGAAAGCGAGAGAACGATGTATGGGTGTATTCTGAAAAACGGCTGAGAAAACACACACACATGTACAAAGTGGTTATAAGTCATATCTGTGTTAGGAGGAGGTGGTGTTAAATAACAGATATGGGTCACTTTTTAATCACTATTATTACACAGTCAATGAACTGTTCAAATATTCAGACTGAATTTAGCTCCTCCTGGGATCAGCTGGAGAGTTTCTTATTCTCGTAATTTAAATAAATGTAGAAGAATCAGAGAGAACAACTGAAACACTAACGCACATTAGTACACATATTTTTACTGTTGTCGTCTAATTAATGCATTAAATGCTTTGATGTAAAACACACACAGATACACAGGTTTCTGCACACACACGCACACACACACTAATATAATAATTGCACTCTTGTGGTTATTAAATTAAAGCTTGTTGTCTGACCTCATGCTCTGATTTCAGAGACTACAGGAAACATATGCTACGGTAATTATGACACTTATTCTGTGTGTGTGTGTGTGTGTGTGTGTGTGTGTGTGTGTGTGTGGATGTGTTCGTGTTTCTGGGAGCTACTCACACACACACACACACACACACACACACACACGCACACCTTTAAAGCTCTATTTTTTTAAGATTATTTCATTAAATATAGAACTTCTCTTTGCTTTTGTTGCTGCATATTATCGTCCAATTTTTTGCATATTTAAACATTATTATTCAAAATAAAGACATGCAGAAGGCTAAAAAACAATATGGAAAATGTATAAACGATTACATCAACAAATAGTAAATCTATGAAACACACATGCAGATTATTTTAGATTTTAAATGTTTTGAATTCCCCTCTATCGATGTTGGTGTGAAAACAAATTAAAGCATGATAATTCATCAATTGTTAATAAAATTATCATAACAATAATAATAGGTATATGGTTTGGACGAATAAAAAGCATGTATAAATATTAAATATTAATTATTCATTTATTCTCTGAGACACCGAATGTCTTCGTGTGTGTGTGTGTGTGTGTGTGTGTGTGTGTGTGTGTGTGAAGGAGGAACAGCTGTTCACCTCCACACTCATGTAAAGCCTTTTCACTTAATTATGGTGGACACACACAATCAGACGCACACCCCCACACACACACACACACACACACAAATGAACACTCCACATGCCTCAGCTTTTGTTATTTCGTTTCTCTCACAGACAAACACAAAAAAAAAGCTGTTTTACTGCTAAATCTCAGACCCTCTACATAAATCTGCCCCCTCCTCACCCCTCATCCTCACCCATCTCTCTCTCTCTCTCTTTGCTTGTCCGACTTGGTCAAAAACAAAGAGGGAGAGAGAGAGAGTCCCCATCGTCTGTCTTTCAGCTGAACTTGACAGAAGTTATGGGGAAGATGTTTATTATTTATGCTCCACAATTAACAACCATGTTTGTGTGTGTGTGTGTGTGTGTGTGTGTGTGTGTGTGTGTGTGTGTGTGTGTGTGTGTGTGTGCACGCGTGTGTGTGTAAGGATCAGGTCAAGCTTCATTTTGAGGAGGGGGTGTTTTATATTTGTGTGTTTGTGTGTGTGTTTCCGCAGTAAAACAAGTCTTTCTGTCTGCAGTGTAAGAAGTGAGCT